ATCCGACCTCGTCGACAACACTGCCGTGCAAGCGTCGGTTGTAAGCGTCGAAGACCATGGTTTGGTTATGGACTTGGGGATTGAGGGCGCCGATATTAAGGGCTTCATGTCCAAAAAGGAAATTGATCCCAAGACGGATTACTCGACTATTAAGGAAGGCTCAGTCTTCCTCTGCATGGTCACTGGCCAGAACGCCAACGGTAGTGTCTTGAAGCTGTCCGCCAACCTGCAATCTTCCGGATCTATAAAGAAGTCGCACTATCTCAGCACAGCGCCTACGATCAACTCCTTCCTTCCAGGCACAGCAGCTGAGATTCTTTTGACTGAAGTCACTTCAAGCGGAGCCACTGGAAAGATAATGGGCATGCTAGATACGACTGTGGATTTGGTGCAATCCGGTGGTAACTCGAGCAAGGACGATCTGGCTAATAAATACAAGATTGGTGCCAAAGTTAAGGGCCGCCTTATCTCCACCTTCCCCGCCTCCGATCCGTACAAGGTCGGCTTTTCATTGCTCGATCATGTCTGCAAATTTACTTCTGAAGCTCAAGGTCCTGGAAGCTCTGAAGATGCACCAGCCATTTCTGCTATCGTACCTGAGGCGAAGGTGATCAAGGTTGATCCTGGCCTCGGAGTTTACGTGCAAATTGGATCCACAAAACATGTGGGATTCGTTCATGTGTCGAAGCTAGCAGATGGGCAGGTTGAAAGTATTTCTGCCGAATACGGGCCATTCCGAACGGATTCCACCCATGAAGGAAGGGTTGTGGGTTACAGTGCCCTAGATAATTTGTACCTCTTGTCATTTGAGAGATCGGTTATTGACCAGCCTTTCCTTCGTATCGAGGATGTTACCGTTGGCGCGGTCGTCAAAGGAAAAATCGAGAAGCTGCTTATCGGACCAAGCGGATTAGATGGCTTGATCGTCGCATTGGCAGACGGTATCACCGGTCTTGTCCCATCTATGCATTTTGCAGACACGACTCTTCAGTTTCCCGAAAAGAAATTCAGGGAAGGGATGACCGTTTCGGCTAGAATCTTATCAGTCAATCCAGAGAAACGCCAGATTCGACTAACTCTAAAGAAGAGTCTGCTGAACAGTGAATCCGCCATTTGGAAAGACTACAATAACATAGTTGCCGGGGCGCAGTCCCCTGGAACTATCGTGAACCTTAAGCCACATGGTGCTGTGGTTCAGTTCTATGGTTCCGTGCGAGGTTTCCTTCCCGTGTCAGAGATGAGCGAGGCCTACATCAAAGACCCTTCTCAACACTTTAGGCTGGGCCAGGTGGTGAATGTCCACGCACTCAGTGTAGATTCGTCTCTTGAAAAGCTCGCTGTGTCCTGCAAGGATCCTTCCACCTTTACCGAGACTTACAAAAAAGCCTTTGAGAGCATACACCCTGGCTTGCTTGTTACTGGAACAGTCTTCGAGAAGTCAAGTGACGACCTACTTCTTAAATTGGATGATTATGGCCTCGTAGCTCGGTTGAACCTCGATCATGTGGTTGATGGCTCCCCATCTAAACAGAGCTCGACTCTATCGAAGATTCGTGTTGGCCAAAAGCTCAATGAATTGCTCGTCCTCGATATCCAGCGGACTCGCAGGCTCATTAGAGTGTCCGGCAGGGCAAGCCTCAAGAAAGCTGCCAAGCAGGGGCTTATCCCAGCAAGCTTTGAGGATGTTCAGGAAGGGGCCGAAGTTACTGGCTTCGTTCGGAATATAACAATGACCGGAGTATTCGTTGAGTTCTTGGGTGGTGTCATCGGCCTAGTGCCCAAACGGCTTGTTGGTGACGAAAATATGAACAAGCCAGATTTTGGCTTGACCAAAACCCAAGTAGTTTCAGCAACGGTACACTCTGTCGATCCTGATTTCCGCAGGTTCATCCTGAGCAGAAATCCTGCCGAGGCAACCCATGCTGGTCCTAAAAAGCCGGCCGCGAAGCCCGCTGCCAAGAGCGCTCCCTCTGATGACATTGTTGCCAACGCTGTTGACGAGAGTATCAATTCAATTTCTGATTTCAGCTTTGGAAGGGTTATTAAGTGCAAGATCGTTTCTGTCAAGGCGACGCAAATCAACGTTCAGCTTGCCGACAATATCCAGGGCCGGATCGATGTTTCCGAAGTTTTCGATAATTGGGGGGATATCAAAGACCGAAAGCAGCCTTTGCGGTTCTTCCGTCCTAAGCAACTTATTTCAGCGAGAATTCTAGGTGTTCATGACGCTCGCAGCCACAAGTTCCTCCCGATAAGTCATCGTACTGGGAAATTCCCCGTTTTTGAGCTTTCCCTCAAGCCAAGCTTCCTGCAGGCCGCCGATCCTCTCCCCTTGAACCTAGAACAAGTTCAAGCTGGCTCGTCGTGGCTAGGTTTTATCAACAACATTGCTGACAATTGCCTCTGGGTCAATCTGTCCCCTAATGTTCGGGGAAGATTGCGCCTCATGGATGCATCTGATGACTTGTCTCTTTTAGCCGATGTCGAAAAGCATTTCCCCATAGGGTCTGCCTTGAGAGTCAATGTCTCTGCAGTGGACATTGAGAAAGGTCGCTTGGATCTCTCGGCTAAGAAGGGCTCTGAGACTCTTTCCTTGGATGATATCACCGTCGGCATGATCTTGCCGGGAAGAGTCACTAAGGTCACTGAAAGGCAGGTCATTATGCAATTGACTGATACAATAGTCGGTGCAGTTGATATGGTCGACTTGACAGACGACTACTCCAAGGCAAACCCCACAATATATCACAAGAATGAGGTGCTCCGCGCTTGTGTCACCTCTATTGATAAGGCTAACAAGAAGATCTCCTTGTCTCTCCGCCCTTCTAAGGTCCTTAGTTCATCGCTCCCCGTTCAGGATCCTGAAGTCACGTCAATGGAGCAGGTTAAAGTCAATGATGTTGTGCGAGGCTTCGTACGGAAGGTGGCTGATAATGGGCTCTTTGTGACACTGGGCCACGGTGTAACTGCTTATGTCCGTGTTTCTGATCTCTCGGACTCTTACCTTAAGGAGTGGAAGGATTCTTTCCAGGTTGATCAACTAGTCAAGGGTCGAGTCACGGTCGTAGACCCAGAACAGGGCAGGTTGCAAATCAGCCTGAAAGAGTCTGTCCTAGACCCCAACTACAAGGCACCGGTAAAACTCCATGATCTCAAGCCTGGCCAAATCGTCACCGGCAAGATCCGTAAAGTCGAGGAGTTCGGTGCATTCATCGTCGTTGATGGTTCTGCAAACATCAGTGGCCTTTGCCACCGCAGCGAGATGGCTGAGAACCGGGTTGATGATGCCAGAACTGTGTACGACGAGGGTGATGCTGTTAAGGCAAAGATCCTCAAGATTGACCGCAAGCAAGGAAAGATATCTTTCGGCCTGAAGGCTTCTTATTTCAAGGATCAAGACGAGGACGATGTTGAAAGCAGTGACAATGATGATGAGGATGATGATTCCGAAGGCATTAGTCTAGATGGTTTTGGTGGTGTTGATGTAGATGAAGATGGCAGCGACGACGACAGCGACGTCTCCATGGGTGGAGTCGATGTTGAAGAGGACAGTGAGAGCGATTCCGAGCAAAGTGACGATGAGCCTATGACCAAAGCTCCAGCAAAGAAACAGGGAGGTCTCGGGGCAAGCGGCTTCGATTGGAGTGGCAATGTAATGGACGACGATGAGAAGGCCGCTTCGTCTGATTCTGATGACGAAGATGAGTCAGAGCGGAAGAAGAAGAAGAAACACCGCAAGCCTGAGATACAGGTCGATCGAACTGGTGAATTAGACGCCAATGGGCCTCAATCAGTGGCTGATTACGAGCGACTCTTGCTTGGTGAACCCGATTCATCGCTCCTTTGGCTGAGATACATGGCCTTCCAACTAGAGCTTGGTGAGGTCGAGAAGGCAAGGGAAATCGCTGAGCGTGCTCTCCGCACCATTGCCATTGGCCAAGATGCTGAAAAGCTGAACATTTGGGTGGCAATGCTCAACTTGGAAAATACTTATGGCGACGATGACACTATTGAGGAGGTTTTCAAGAGGGCTTGTCAATACAACGACACTCAGGAAGTCTACGAGCGTCTGATCAGCATTTACATCCAATCTGGAAAGAATGAAGTAGGCTCCCTGTTCTCTGATATTGTCCACTTTCGTTCAGATAGCTAACTATAATTTCGTACAGAAAGCGGATGAGCTCTTCCAGACCGCTCTTAAGAAGAAGATCTCCCAGTCGCCCAAGTTCTTCCTGAACTACGCCAGCTTCCTGTTTGACAATATGGCTGCTCCCGAACGTGGACGTGCCCTTCTGCCTCGTGCTCTGCAGTCGCTTCCTTCTCACACTCACGTCGAAACCACATCCAAGTTTGGACAGCTTGAGTTCCGCTCTGAACACGGAGATGTTGAACGCGGCCGCACAGTGTTCGAAGGTCTCCTCTCTTCGTTCCCTAAACGGATTGATTTGTGGAACATCCTCTTGGATTTGGAGATCAAGAATGGCGATGCCGAACAGGTCCGTCGTTTATTCGAACGTGTACTTGGAATCCGGGACTCCAAGAAGGGCGTTGCGTCTGTAGAAGCGAGCAAGAAACTCCGGCCCAAGCAGGCACGATTCTTTTTCAAGAAATGGCTCGCTTTTGAGGAGAAGCTTGCATCAGCTGATGGCGGTAATGAGAAGATGGTGGAAGACATCAAAGCGAAGGCAGCAGAGTATGTCAAATCTCTGCAGCAAGAGTAGACTCTGCGTCCTGTGTGAACATATCTTATGATGGCATTGTGTTCGGGTCATAGATACTGTATATAAAAAGCTTTCCAACTGTGATATCTTATTCTCTACAATTTACAAGTATGATACCATGCAAGTGTGCGATGAGATTGCTTCGTCAGAGTAGATTAGGGGAACCATATGGACAACCTCGGCAATCGAGAGATAAAAGTATGGATAAAACTTGACTATACGCCTTCCGCCAAAAATGAAAGAAAGAACTAAGCTATTGTCATAAACCCAGCCGAAGATTTATCGCCTCTTTTCAGCCATCAACCTCCGGTACTCCTCCACGATAGTTCTCCTCTCGTTAGCCAACTCCTCTCTTTTTCTCAAGCTACCGACAGCAGTCGGCACATTAGCAACATCGACTTTAGCACCGCCTCGGACCTTGAAAATCTCCCTTGGCTTCGTCAATTGTGGCGGTGCCTCAGCAATTTCGAAAGGATTCGCCGGTTTATTCAAACGGTCCTTGCTCTTCAGCTTAGCCCAAGGATCTGATTTATCGGCACCCTGTCCACCCTTCTTTCTCGCACCAGCTCCCTTCTTTTTCGCCTTGCCCTGGCCTGCCTCCACTTCCCACTCCTTCCATAGTTCTAATTGGTCTTCCAATTCTGCCTCTCGCTCTTCACGCTCAGCAGCCTCACGTTCTTGGATCTCCACCTCCTCCTTCCGCCACTGCGATTGTAGTCGGAGCAAATGTTTCTCATGTTTCGTTACTTTGTGCTCACGAATATCAGCGAGATCCGACTTTGTGGGTTTACCAGATCTCTTCATTCCGGCGATAGGCATTTCGCGGTCGACTCGCGCCGCGAAATCTGACAACTTCTCTCCTGGAAGAATCTTCGGCTTCACTTGGGGTTCGGCATCGGTGCTCTGATCCACTGCCGCCGCAGGGGCAGCCTTCTTGCGCGTGTTTTGTGTCGCATTATCAGTGTTTTCCGCTCCTCTTTTCCGCTTCTTATTCTCGCCAGCATTTGGTTTCGATGGCGCCTGTTTTCCCTGCGTCTGAAACTGCATCAACCGGCGAAAAGCTTTGGGGGTATCATCGTCTACAGCAGATTTCCGACGGGCTTGGAGTTTATCTTGGGGCTTGTTGTCCTTGACATTCTTTTTTGTTTTTTTGTTCTTGGAATTGGGATCGCGGACCGGTAGAGACTTTGCGATCATAGTAGGTGGGAGGTCGTAGATACTAGTAGGGCCGCGTTAGTGGTGACGCAGCATAATTCAAAGCACGAGAAGTTAGACTTACTCCGCGTCATTTTGCTTCCGCTTATGCTTGTGAGGCATTTTGAATATGGTGGTTCTGCAGCTGTTTGTGATGAGAATCTGCGGAGGTGGATTTGAATGGCAACTTTAATTTTTTCTTTTCGGGCGGCATATCTAATCGCGGCTGATAAGATTGCCCACCTTTCTGTACTAGTAGTAGCCGTGCCAGTTCACGAGTACCTTTCTCGAGACCTTTTTTCTTTTTCTTTTTTTTCCTTTACTTTTTTTCTTGAAAATGGTCTTAATATCGAGGCTAGGGGCCTTATTCGACGAGTTGATGGCTTGATCTCCTCATTCATAAATTGTTGAACTATGATCAAGACCAATTATATATATTCTACACAGTACGACTCTTTCACATCTACGTATCTATATATTTCTGTCTAATCGGAACTTCGTACATTGATCATGCCTATAAAGAAAACAAAGAAGAGTAAAAAGAAAAAGAAAAACTAATATATAGTGAGGACCTCTGTCATACTGTGAAATTCTCTCTTACTCATTTATTCAGTTAGAAATGCATGATACTACTCCGCCAGGACTCATGCAACAGTCTCATCCGTTTTAGGACTAGGAGTATAAGACATAAAACGACAAATCAGTAAGCATGATGAATGGAATGTATCTACTAGTGTATTTTTCTTCTCAAGCCAGTGACGCCGGGCGTCTATATTGTTCCAAGTTGAAAGGTGAAATCGTCGCATTCTGAAACCATCGTTCCGGACAGAACAGTGGAGACTGGTAATGAGTAACGTGGGGTAATGGTAGGTGGTGGCTATGCAGTGGTACATCGTACGTACTTTCCCTAGGCAACACTTGTTACTACAATCCTGTGCTGAAAACGAATTTCCTGCCAGGTTTCTTACGCTTAATCCATGCGGTTAGAAGGTGGATGTATTGTTACAAGGATTGCTCACTATAATCCACTAGTACAGAGTAGTTCGTATACATATAAGCTCAGACCCTAAGAAGCTCTTCAAGATTCATGGTTGCTCGCTTAGAGCCAGCGGAAGCTTAAGTGTAAAGGAGGAGGGGAAGAGGGAAAAAAAAAAGTCAAAGAAAGGTATGCAATTATCGGCTTCTGCCGATCGATCACATCACGAATTGTTATGATAGGTCACCTGCGTACTCCGTACTGCACATAGCTTTACGCGTAATCCTCCGAGCCATGGGTAAGGGAGTTCTGAAAACAGAATGAATGTCTGGGGTCATGGATGTCGAGTGATACCCAGCGACGTCATGCATTCCGTTGTAAATATATTCCGAGTAGAAACTGATTCATGCCTCGGTGGTGGCTGCTGACTGGTGCTAAAAATGCGTCTGAAGAAGTGAGCCAATTATTTACTCCGCGTGATTAAATTTTAGATACACCCATACATTTGTAAGCTTCCTGGTCAACCACTAGTATCACTAAGTACTGATGTGCATTAGTTACTACTAGTAGTAACAGTAGCTACACTACTAGCAGCGTTTGCCCCGAGTATCTTAGTACCTACAGTACAATCCAGGTTACCATTCTATTTTTGAATACTATGAACTAGCAATGAGGTTGTTTTAATTTTGTGAGAGGCTGTGCTCAACCATGGGTCCAGGCTAAGTTCCAAAAGTTCTATATCAAACCTACCATACGGACTGCAGTGCCTTCTCAGGGTCCCCTCAGGGTCTAGGCACTCCACCTCTTCATCAACAGGTGTAGAGTTCAGCGAATGAGAGCCTCTTATCCTACCAACGTTGACTCAGGTTATCCCGCCGCGCGACTACTCTCGACTCTCGAGCTACCGGAAGCATATGGGCTGACGGTGGAAAGACCTGCCGATGTTTCTGTCCTGACCCAATAACGATATCCAACACTGCACATGTCTTACTACTTGGGTCGTGGAGAATTAAGCAGCCTAAAAATTTATCGTTTCAAAAAGATTCTACACAAAGCGTTCACCGTGAACTGCTCTCGGGGGAACTCGTCATAAATCAAAGACCTCTTCCTAACATGGAAGACTTCCTGAAGGACGAGAGTACCTAGACTTGAGTCACTTGACTCTCCCTTATCTCTACAGCCGCAGGATCGCCATCGGCAAGGACCTATGGCCAAGAATGTCGTCCCCTTTCCGCTCCCCACCTGTGTCTGGTACCCGCATTGCTACACCTCAGGCAAACAACGTCCCCTTTGACCGTTATCGCGACAGTGAAGATGCAGAGCCTAAGGCGGGTTTAGAAGAATTTAAATTGTCTGTGAAAGAGCCTGCCAGCGGTGAAGCGAACGAGCAGGACTTCTTGACTGGACCTACCCGGCAGGAGACTTTACCTGCATGGAGACATACTAGTAGACTGGCCACGAACTCTCCTTTCACTACGCCCGGGAACAACGAGTCTGATAATGTACTACCATTGCTCGCCAACTCAAGTCGTGCCCCGAACCACTCTCGGAAACGGTGTAGGAAACCTAAGCTGACCCGTTGCCTGCTATTCCCTCTCCTGGGATTCTTCGTCATGCTGTAAGTTTCCCAAGTCGCGACGCGTCGACTACTGAGGTTACTTACCACGCCTATAGAGGCATCATTCAGTTCATTATTATCGCCTGTGGCATTGTCATAACGTTCTTCTCGGATGACGTCGACCGTTTCTCAGTTCTCCGTTGGCAACACGAGGAAAGATTGGGCGCGAACGGCTCTCATTGGCCCACAGATTTCACCAGAGATATTATCCCAGTTGGATGCCATTCGCATAATGACTATTGGCGGCCAGTTCCCCTGTTCTCTGCTATACAGGCGGGCTGTATTGGCGTGGAAGCCGACGTATGGCTTTTCGACGACGAACTATACGTGGGCCATACCACTTCGTCGCTGACACGGCAGCGCACACTGAGGAACTTATACCTTAATCCCTTGATAAAGATACTAGAGAAACAAAACCCAATTACCAAGCTCCACCCTACTGTAGATCAGTCGTTGCAGGGAGTTTTCGACACGGACCCATCCCAAAGCCTTATCCTCCTCATTGATTTCAAAACTGATGGAGACGCGACATGGAATACGGTCGTCGAGCAGTTGTCACCCCTCCGCACACGTGGCTATCTTACCCACTTTAACGGTACTGATGTGGTCAAAGGCCCTATCACCGTTGTGGGAACGGGCAATACTCCCTTCAACATGGTAGCTGCGAACACCACGTATCGAGACATCTTCTTCGATGCCCCTTTGGAGAGATTGGCTGAGGACTATGACATAGATAAAGTTGGGAGCCAAGGTTTCGAAGATCACATCCCAGAGGATGAAGGGATGATGACGGACCGGTCCAACGAGAATGTCGGTCAGGGCCTCTCGGGCTTGTTCGGTGACGAGATTGGCCCCGACACGTTCAACTGGACCAACAGTTACTATGCATCTGTTTCTTTTAGGCAGTCGATCGGGTTTCCTTGGTTGTTACACCTCAGTGATCGGCAAATAGACAAGATAAAAGCGCAAATCCGGGGCGCCCACCAGCGCGGACTCAAAGTTCGGTATTGGGAGTTGCCTAGCTGGCCTCGGAGTTTGAGGAATCATATCTGGACCGTTCTGGTTCGCGAAGGGGTTGATATCCTCAATGTTGACGATCTACAGAGTGCCACTAAGCAGGATTGGAGACCCAAGTTCTCTGATTGGTGGCACTAACCTGTGCCCTGCCTACACTCTCTGCATACAGTATTTATAGATTAGGTGTGGCTGTACAGCCAAATCGGCCCAACATGCCGCATGCACCATGCTAGGCAGTGATTTTACGATTTTTTCGACGGTGTTGAGGTTCCTTTTGAGTAGATACCCTACGAGTTGTCTTATCGTTTCCTTAGAATTTCGAGAGCTACTTTTACCATTTCCTACTTTAGAACAATGCAAAATGATATGATGCGAGATGATTCATGTTTTGGTATTTGGTGCATCAAATGTGATATGTAGAAAGATAAGATCGTCTGGGATCCAGTTTTGGGTATCATCTGATAGACTTCCACAGTCCTCTTGTTTTTAGCTTGTGGCGGTCAGCCTGCATGCAAAGGGTTGGGACTATTGCCCATAACCTGAAATAGAAAATAAACTAAACAAATGCACAACCAAATCACAAACAGCACAATGCTTCTTCCCCAAATTCGTTGAGAACGGTTCCCTCCTCACGAAGAATATTCCCCAGCCAATCCTTGGCTGTTTCGAAATTATCGGCCCCGAACTTAACCAGGACAAAACCTGCTCGTACACGAGCAGCGGTGAAGGTGACCTTCGAGTCGAAATTTGGAGGTGCTTCTACAGCTGCAGGAGCGGACGATGACCAATTCCGAGCTCCGATCCGTGGCTGCGACGTAAACCGATCCATGATGAAATTTGCAAGGCGCTCAAACACAGGTCCGTAGAGAATCAACGTGCCCACAATACCGTGAGGTCGTGTCCGCTCCCGGATGACACCAGTGCGGTTCAGCGTCTCATGCTCGTCTTCTAACGATCCTTCGTCGAGCTCTTCGTCAAGGATGAGTGAGTCACGGAGCAGAAGCTTCTTCTTGCCTGATTCGTCGACGCTGTAGACTTCGTTCTTGCCTTTCCAGAGGTGGAAGTCCCAGTTCTCGCCCCGGGATTTGCGTCCCTCTGTCACCCAGTCTAGCATGCAGAGGCTGCTCCGTTGGGAGTCCTTTGTTGTGCTGTCGACTGTGAATGTTTGGACTTGTTCGTACCGGCTGTCCTTGTATGGCACGGCTGGATCGGGGAGGTAGCACATTGCGGCTCCCTTTTCGATCCGTACGTCTAGTGTTTGCCGGCTCTTGTCTGATAATACTCGCCCCGGGGCGCGGCGGCCCTTGACGCTTCTGCTGGGCTCTGTTTTGTAGATCTTTGTGGTTCCTTGTGGCGTTGTTACGACCATTCTTGTGAATTGTTCGAGTTTGATTGAGACCTCGATGTGGTCACCAGGTAGGAGGCCGCCGCCATAGGTGAGGAGGTAGAGGTGGACTGGACGGGAAACGGGACATGATAGAGCGGAGGATTGAGGTACGTAGCCGGGTGTTCTTGTGAGGAGCTTGAGGGGGTATTTGTAGGTGAGAGTTGTCAAGGTAGGATTCGAAGGAGGCAGTAGTGAAAGGACAACATTGCCTTGTCCAGGTTTGGCAATGGAAGCCTCAAAGGGTGATTTTATAGGCATGATTCTGGATGTGATCTGCATAGAGGACGGTCTCCGAGAAAAGAGAGAAAAGGTTCTAAGACGGGAATGAAAGAGGAAAATGGAAAGAATGAAAATCGAAGGTGTGGATATTCACGGTATGATATACTCTGCCATTCATGGGATCTATTGAAATATCTGTAAAATGGCGTCATGGAGAATGGATTGGGATCAATCTGATTTTCCGGGGCAGCCAAACAACGCCGAGAGGTCCGACCAGGTGATCCTGCAGACCCCCTTGAATGATTAGCTGGAAGCGGGGTGTAATGCCCTTGTGTATCAACCATTGAATTTGCAGTCTTGGCTCTTCCAATGTTGAGTTGGAGATGAGCATTCATGCCACGATGATGGAGACCGAGGAGGTTTCTATTACGGCATCAATACTGAGATTCTCCGCAGATGATGAGGGCTTAGGGTTCGCCCCCGGGCGAGGCTTTCTTGGCGATGCCAATCATTACGCACTAGGAAGATCATACCGTTTCATTACCGTTTTGATCCATGTTTTCAATGTTGGATGACTGAGGCCACCATCACACAACGGACAGGGACAAACCTGGCGCCTGAGGCACCGACTCACTTTCGGAGCCCGTCATCGCCAGGCACCAAAGCGCGTCTGTTTCGTCCGCCAGAACAGTTCACCGTGTTCCCACTCCCCTCACTTCGACTTTCTGGAGTCCCACTCTCGACGCATCGGAACGGTATCCTCAATGCACCTTTTTTCCCATTGAGGCTCGAAACGCTTTCGCTCCCACTTGTTTTTTGTTGTCTGTCCGATCGCGTACACTTGCAACACGCGCGCGCAAAGCCGCAGGTGCTGTGCTAGGAAAACTAACAATAATCGCGTTCAGCATCCCCCGAATTCCATCATCATCTGAACCCCACGTCCAAGTACGCCTCACTTCTGACTGATAGACCATGTGTCACCGGGAATTCAGTCGCAATGTAAACTAATACATCTACGATGACTATCTAGTGTTCTAAATACTTCCGACAACAATGGAGACTGAACCGCCGCTTTCAAGCCCTCAGCCCGGGCCCACTCAAGAAGCTTCATCCCCGTCCACAAACAGAAGAAAGTCTGGTCGGGTGACGCGGAAGCCTGAATTGTTCGCCCAGAGTTATACCGCCAATGATAGTGCGATCGCAGGAAGCTCTAAGCGCAAACGTGCCGGCGGCGATGACGAGGAAGATATAGAGGAGGCTGCAGACGCGTCCGAGCCCGATGTTGACGAGTCCGCCGACGAAGAACCTGATGAAGAAGAACTCCGAGAGAAGAGACGCGCTGCACGTAAAGCGTCATCGAAGAAAGCGACGTCCGAGCCGAAGGCTAAAGCAAAGCCTCGCAGTGCGAAGAAGCCTAAAGTAGCTGGTAATGGAATCGGGAGCCAGCTGGCCTTCCGACCTGCTACAAATGGAAAGAAAACCGTTTCCTCCCGCCCCAGGAAACCGATGGTGCGACCCAGCTTGGCTGCCGGTGAACGGGGTCTCTATGGTAAATTTACCGTTGTCTCCTGATCATTGTGGTGATGTGGCTAATGGTGATTACTACTGTGTAGCGGAGGTTTTTGGTAAAGGGCGCAATGCCGACACTACTGCTGCCGAATGGCTTTCGAGATACCAGAGAGAGCAGTCTCAGGCACTGCGTGATATGGTTAACTTTGTGCTCAGGTGTACAGGAACAGATCTTGAAGTAACCCAAGACCATATCAATGATGTCGACCACGCACCGGACCGTGTAGAGGACTTGCAAAACGAATATCAACAAGAAGGAGTTGGCGAGTGGCCCCTGATCTCTAGAGCGAAGAAGTTCAGGGCTTTCCAGCCGGTCTTGGAAGAATTCTTCAAGTCCTTAATCCAGACCTTTCATCATTCATCGGTTTTATACGACGATCAGAACCTCTTCGAGAATTTCGAAATTTGGTTATCTGCCATGTCAACGTCGCACTCTCGGCCTTTCAGACATACCTCAACTGTTATTTTACTGGCAGTCATGTGTGCTCTTTGCGACGTCGCCCGGGAATTGATGACATCAGTTTCTACTTCTCGCAAACAGCTCGAGACTGAGAAGAAAAAGAAGTCGGTGAACCAAGGAAGAGCATCCGCTATCGAGAAGGCCATTGAAGAGGGCGAAAAGAAGCTGGAGATCATCGATGAATACCTTAAAGACGGCGTCAATGTCGTCTTCGTTCACCGATATCGGGATGTCGACCCTAACATTCGTGCAGAAAGTATGGCAGCACTGGGACAATGGATACGTAGCTACCGAGAATATTTCTTCGAGGGACAGTTCCTTCGGTACTTCGGCTGGATGTTGTCTGACACCGTCGCCCAGACACGCCTTATCGTCGTAAACCAACTTCGCAGCTTATATGAGAATAAAGATAACATTGCAGGCATGCGGTCATTTACCGCGCGCTTCCGTCAACGAATGGTGGAAATGGCTGCCCGTGATGCAGACATTGCGGTACGGGCCTCTGCGATTGAACTAGTGGATTTGATTCGGGAGGCCGGATTAATTGAGCCCAGCGACATTGACACAGTGGGAAGACTTGTCTTCGACTCGGAACCACGGATTCGAAAAGCAGCTGGTCGTTTCTTTGTCGCCAATGTTCAAGATGTGTTCGATTCCACGATCGAAGAAGTTCGAGACGAGATCAATGAAATGTTCGGTGAAGAGGATGAAGATGACTTCGAATCGCCTAAAGGTTCGTGGATCAAGTTCAAATGTCTAGTCGATACTCTTCAATCTTACGACGAGCTTGAAAATGAATATAAACCCGACCAGCCCACCTCTGCATCGAAGGATGCGCTCTCCGGCACTCCTGTCAATACGCGATTTGTTCTTGTTACTGAAGCTATTTATCCTTACCTCAAGGAGTTATCTCAATGGCAATCTTTGGCTGGGTATCTGCTTTATGATCATTCCCAGATTGAAGACAGTTCGTCGGAGGATGACACTTCAGGTTCCATCAAAAACCTTTACAAGATGCAGGAAGGGCAGGAGGTCATCCTCTTAGAAGTACTATGCAGTGCTGTTAAGTTGCGTGTTCTCGAAGTCGCAAAGTCTGATATTGATAAAAGAGGCCGGAAGGTCAAGGCATTGACTGACAAGATTCCTGAAATTCAAGAAGAGATTGCGCACAACCTTGCGCAGATCATCCCCCAACTCTTGAATAAATTCGGCTCTGTGCCAGAGGCTGCTTCTGCTGTTCTCCGACTTGAACATCTTGTCGATCTCGATAAGATACAGGACTTACAGAAAGATGCTACCGCCTATACATCATTACTGAACGACATCAACAAGCAGTTCTTAACGCACTCTGATCAGGATGTGCTCACAGAGGCTAGTGTCGCTTTTCTTCATGCAAAGAGCTCAGATGATATGCGGGAAGCGTTGGATAATAAGATCTCGGAATTGTGGGAGGGCATGATCGATACACTCAGCACATTAGCCCGGAAGAAGGAAGTTCTAGAGGGCAGATCAATACCTGACTCTACTCTCAATCAACTTACGAATACCGTGATGAGAATTTCCAACCTTGCCAGTGTAACCGACTGCACACAGATTTTGGAAGCAACACCACCTTCACGGTCAAAGGGCAAGAACAAAGACACTGCTGAGATACCTTTCAATATCCTTCTGCATCTGGTGGAGCGTGGTTTGCGCGAGACTGAAGACGATGAAGAATCCGCAAAGGCAGAGACAGAACTTGTGAGCAGCAGCATACGGACACTTCTGTTCTACTTCATGTGGAAGGTCCAGTCTTTGACAACTGCTCTAAGCACTGGAAAGGCTTCTTTTGATACCGAGTATTTCGAAGTCTTAACAAAGAGCCGGGAATTATTCGTTTCGACACTTGTCGCCATCATGAAGGCACGTTCTGGCTTGGATGATATACGCTTCTCGGCAACAGCAACACTCTTGGACCTACAGACCCTGTTCGGCACCCTCCGACATGCGGGACTAAAAGCCAGTAATGATGAAGACGTCATTCTCCAGACACAGGGCTTAGTCCATGAGATCGCAGGCGAAGCCTCCAAACTCATCGCTAAAATCCACAGTGTCGCAGAGCGTACATATGCGAAGAGGCTACGTTTCTCCTACGAGCCCGCGGACGACGACGAACCTATATCCGACTCAGAGGAGGAAAAGGACCCCGATGACGAAAACGACTCTGGTTCCGAAGCAGAAATGATAGCCACCGAGCGCCTACGATCCAGAATCGTGGCTGAACAGCGCCTGTGCGAACTCACAGGCAAGATTGTCCTAGCGATTGTAGGCCGCGTCATTGACGCCTCTGGCGAAGAACGCGGGCAGCTCAAGCAAAGATTGGTCAAGCACAAACACGACCTCGGCCAGAACTACCGCGAAGTAGTCGCATTCCTCGACGAGCGTAAACCCAAGAACCCCCGACCCAAGGGCAAACAACTACCTACTTCCTCGGAGCCGAACCGAAACCAAAGCAGCTCAAGCAAGCGACAAGGTAACGCTAAATCCGCTGAAAGAGTAGACGATGACGACGACGACGACGAAGAAGAGGAAGAGATAGGGGAGGTGCATCTCGATCTAGAAGAAGACGAGGACGAGGATCTACGAGCCAGAGGCCTGGTAGAAGACGAGAACATCGAACAAGATCACGATGAAGAGGAAGATGAAAATCATGCTGCTGCTGATCCAGACGACGATGAAGTTATGGGTGATTGATTTGCCAATGGAGTAATATTATCTGTCTAGCTATGATTTCGGTAAAAGGGATGAGCTCGAGTTGCTTCTTATTTCATTCGACTTTTTATTTATTTTCGTACGAAGGCTTTTCCTCAAAGGTGTTGGTCCGTGGATCTTTGTCACTACTATTCCAGCCATGACTGTCAGCTCTACAGGTTTTATTAGGCCGAAATTTTTTCTTATCTTAATTTCCTTCCCCTTGAGTATCTCCTTTTACCGTTGTTTATCCTTACTTCTCTCTTCTTCATCTTGCTGT